CTGTGTTCCGGACTAAATTAATATAAGAACAAAGGTAACTGCAGAAGGCCTATTGGCCCATACGAGACAGCTTCTATTTATAACCACACCTTTCCAGTTAATGCAATTTAAGCTTTGTTAATCTTTCTTCACTTTGGCAGTGGCAGCTTTTGCTAGTGATTGATGATTGATGAAGATTAAGCCACCTAAAAGGTGGCACAGTCCTGGACTGTGTTCAGGACTAAAGTATACTTCCTGGTTGGTCAATAAAATATTGTAGTGGCCTTAAGTCCAACACCAAAGCATTTTTTTTAATAATGCGTATGAAACTTTTTTGTACAAATATGATTTTATAACTTAATATTTGGTGGGAATAATTAATCACTCTTGCCAAAGAGTCAAAAGACGCCGACGAATCTAATGGTTAATACAGTCAGTAATATGTATTAGGTGCTTAGTGGTGCGCGTCACGCCATGAGCGGCACTGTAGCAGCGGGGACCTCTGGCTGGTGCATACATTATTGTGCAATTAGATAGCGATTAAGGTTGCAGGAATGCAGAAGGGGCTGACCACGTCTTCATCAGCCTCGTGCTATCATCGGCAGCCCGTCATTAATGGGGGGGGGGGGGGGTGGAGGCCGATTCAGGGTCATTCTGGCCTCTTCCCCCATCCCCCCTTCTTCGCCACAACTACCAGCCGTGTCCTGAAGGCAACCACAACTCGCAGCATCTCAAACATCGTGATTACATCTTCATCCCAGCAACAGGACCACCACCTCTCAGCGCTGCAAGTCATTTAAGTAAACATAACCATCAGTGAACAACAGTCCTTGTATATACACTTTCACCACCACCTTCACCATCCACCACCCACCTTATCCACCACCACCACCACCCACCTTCTCCACCACCCACCTTCTCCACCACCACCCATCTTCTCCACCACCACCCACCTTCTCCACCACCACCACCCACCTTCACCACCACCACCACCCATCTTCGTCACCACCACCCACCTTCTCCACCACCACCACCCACCTTCTCCACCACCACCCATCTTCTCCACCACCACCCACCTTCTCCACCACCACCACCCACCTTCTCCACCACCACCACCCATCTTCGTCACCACCACCCACCTTCTCCACCACCACCACCCATCTTCGTCACCACCACCCACCTTCTCCACCACAACCACCACCCACCTCCCCCCCCTCACCACCGGCCTTCACCACCACAAACTGTCACCACCCACATTCTCGAGCGCGCACGGGAGCGCTCGCTCCAGCATTCACAAGTAGCTGAACTTTGCATATTCCAGTTCAGCAAATGGTTCACCAGCGACAGATTAACGTCTTAAAAATCTCGCAAGATGTTCTTCTGAAGCTGAATTATGGTGATATACCAATAGAGCAAAGTCTCATATTGCTAGAAAAACTCTTAAGATAACATAACCACGGCATGAAAGATACTCATCAGCAATCATAAGTGGACAAAACGTTTGGAATAACGGCGTTCTCGTGAGAAATCAGATAATTTCAAATCGTTTACAAATTAAGAAACATTACTTGACATGCCTTATGATAAAGTAATGATCAGGAGAAAGTGCAAAAGCCAGTATAACTAACACTTAAAAGGGATACATGACAGACTAAGAATTGAGATACGATCATATGTTGAGGTTAACGACCTGTCCCACCCCCCCTTGCACCATCGGGGATCGAACGCCAACCCTGCAAGAAGCGACCCCATCGCTCTTCCGGTCAAAATTCAATAAAAAATGATTTGCGGATTTCCTCGAGGGAATTAGAAAGCGTACAACGACGACTCACACATTGTGACACTTAATACGGCGATTTAGCAGTGGTACGATAAGCAGATGTGGTGAGTGTGGACACCCGTAACTGGTCCTTATTAGCCATGACTGGAGACTGGGGTCACGATCTGCACCCCAGCATTACACCCCGCCAGTCTCTAGTACTACAGTCTGTGTGACAGCCGGGCCCACCTGCTCTCTTATGGCTTAGCCATTCCACAACGTCATTGGTCGTTCAACACCTGTCTAATTTGATAGTGCATTGTCTATGATTTGACAGTGTGGTATATAAGTGTATAATTTGTGAGGTTGAGAGTAGGGCGAGGAGCTGGGGACTTGAACGAGTGACAGCAGGGTGAGTGTGGGCATGTTGTTGTTGTTCCGAGTACCTGAATCTATAAACAACAAGTTCCAAGTAGCACGGGCTATGGCGAGCCCGTGGAGTGTGGGAGTTAGTGTGGGCATTAGACCGTAAGGTATGGACGTGGGAGTCAGGTGTGGGAGTCAGGTGTGGGAGTCAGGTGTGGGAGTCAGGTGTGGGAGTCAGGTGTGGGAGTCAGGTGTGGGCTGATCAGAAAGGTTGATAATTCTAAAAAAAAAAAAAATTGAAATAATCTACCCCATCGCCCGTCTCGCTTAGACAGAAAACGTTATTTAGAGTTCAAATTGCTAATGTTCACTGTACACATTTTCTCCGCGCGTCAGGTAATTTGGGCAATAATTAGAGCAGACTACATGCAGTCCTTCAATTACAGGGCCATTAACCACCTGCGGGCACTCGTGGAAACTGGTTATGGGGCCAAGGGAGACGATGGTTAAGGGTACAGATAGGGGGGGGGGACTTTGGACGGGAAGGGGACAGGGCAAACGAGCGGGGGGAGGGGGTACTATGCTCATTTCGTACTCACACCGCGTACTCTTTTTCGCTCTCGGTGGGTAAACCCCAAGACTAGTGATTTATAGTATAGGACAAAGTGAAGGGGGGGGGGGGGGAAAGGGTGACTTGCGGATTATCTATCAACATGCAAAGATTTGGGAGAACCTCACAAACACATTGGATCTGGAGATTCCGGCTGAAGATTTGTAAATAATATATTTTACAGAGGCATAGGATAGGTTCAACGTATCAAGTTCAAGTATGTTTATTGAGATAAGCAAGAAATGCATCTCAAAGGGATAGAGTAGCTTAGGCTATTTCTACCCCCCCTTTAAACGTATCAGCTGTGATCTTCAACGTCTGGGACGGTCAAATGGATTGAGAGAGAGTGGTGCGTAAGTTTATCAGTTCCTAATAAAAACGTTCGGTGATTGATTGATGAAGATTAAGCCACCCAAAAGGTGGCACGGGCATGAATAGCCCGTAAGTGGTGAGCAACGTTCGGTGGTTTTCCAAACCAAGCAAGAAATTCTCAAATGTGAAACAAAAATGTCCTTAAAGAGGAGTAAGCATCAAGTCAGAAGTCATGTTCTTATTTCATTGGTAAGGTTCCATGCCCCATTACGAGGGAGGGAATTATCAGGGAAAGCGCCAAGCCATTATTATTATATAGCACTTAGAAAGGATCGGAGATGAGGTTTGGGGATGGGACGGAGGGAAAGGAATGGTGCCCAACCACTTGGACGGTCGGGGATTGAACGCCGACCTGCATGAAGCGAGACCGTCGCTCTACCGTCCAGCCCAAGTGGTTGGACTTCCCCACTAGGAAAAATATAGTGAAATGTGAACCCAGCGTTTTGAAAGGTTATTTTAATAACGATTCTTTTTGCTGAAACAGAGAACACTTCCGTGGATTGCCGTAATAACTCTTCTGAAGTTGATAGGTCTTGAGCTCAATACCTAACCAAACTGGTCTTATAACAGGCTTAAGTTAACTGAAGATGTATCCCATTTCTTTGTGTATATACACTGAAAAATTTACTTTAGTTCGGGGTTAAAGTATTCTTCCTGATCGGTCAGTTGCCTCCAGAGGTTGATAGGCATTATATACAATGCCTATACAATTTTTGTATACAAGCCCATGACCATCAATATTCCTAAATGCCGACCACATAATATGTACCTCTTTTTTTCTGAATTACTATCAATGTCATTTAAGCAATTGACAGAGCTGAAACTATCCAAGAACCAAAACATGAAAATAGATACAACCCAAAAGATACCGAGAGGAATAAAAAGATAAAAGGTTGCCTACTTAAAAATCCCAGTACAAGAGCATCATCTAACCCACAACCACTCAACGAAACAACTACAGTTTGATTTACTATAGTTCTCCATCGAAGTCAAATAAGCCTTTTGTGCTTATCAATCATCACTAAATATTATTAGTAAATTACATAAAAAGTGTAACCACGAGGTATTCTATCTCCTCCGATAACTGAAGTATATAATAACTGTGTAAAGTTATTAACGTTTTAGTAATACATAAAAAGACTAATATTTGTACATGCACCAATTAATATTAAAATTTTTTATGCAACTCAAGAAGACGGGTTGGTACACCAGAAGTGACGAAATAGTGAACACAGTACACAGAAATAGTACACTGTTCTTCCATCATAATACTATTTCAAGTTATTACACCACATTCCCATGGTATGAGAAATTACACATACGATTACACGCCAAATAAGATGGTAGCAACAATATCCACACCGAAGATATATTGATCAAGATAAACCGAGAGGCAGAAACACATGTACTAAGTTAAATAAATGTGTGTGCTAGAAACTTTCCTACATTAGCACGCTCATGACCTCTAAAATCAATTCTTTAAAATCATTAGTCCTTCACAAAATGTATTGCGACGGCTCCTCGGTCCGACTCTCTACTTAAAAATGCAAATGGACTCGGGGTTAAAGCCTCATGCAAATTGTTGTGGTCGTCCAGTGTGTTGTGGTCGTTTTGACATGACTGAGGTACGATGTTCTCAATAACCCAGAACTTGTTCGTAAACAGTGAAGGATATTTACACACACACACACACACACACACACACACACACACACACACACACACACACACACACACACACACACACACACACACACACACACCCAGTGTGATTTACTACAATTCTCCATCGAAGTCGAATAAATCTTTTACGTTTATCAATCTTCACTAAATATTATTTCGATAATACTAATACAATTAATATTATTGTAAGTATTATTTACACACACACGTAAATCACGAAGAAATTAACACATGATCAACAATGTGAAAGGCATAACCTCGAAGGTAAATTAAACAAAAAAATCACTTAAGCTCTTTAGTGCCAGCACATCATCAAAAATATTTATACAAAAATATTTGTATACAAGAATGGTCCAGGTCCAATATTTGTAATGAAGAATGGAATGAATCGACTTGAGAATGGTCCAGGACGGACCGAAACGTCGTCGTCCCTTCAATTTCTAGTGTGTGGTCTGGTCAACATACTTCAGCCACGTTATTGTGACTCATCGCCTGCATATTTGTATACAAGTTTTATTTACAAAAGTATTTGTTCGTAGGTTTTCTATACACAAATACACTTTTGATGAGTTAACACGAAAATGCTCAAGCTATTTCTTGTTGCATTTTCCCTTGGTATATATATCGCCCATAAATACCAATTTATGGGCGATATATGATGACCCAAAATATACATTCTGGGAAACATACTTAGGACATCAGTAAGATATTACAGTTTATTACCCAAGAAACCCTTTAGCATTGGTAAGCTTCCCCATTATCTGCAAACAAAGCCAAATATACATAAGATCCCCATAAAATTAAGAGTCAGTCCGTCTCCACTTAAGGGCGTTAATTATGCATAATAAATTAACCAGTTAATAATACTTATAACTAAAGGGCTGGGGAAATGTCGGCAATTCATATGCCTTTATATTAACGAGAGAGACCAGGAGATGGTTAACACCAGCTGTGGATGTAGGTGTCCAGGTACTCCCCTAGTTGGGATCAGGTGAGAATAAACAATTGAGTGTAGGCAAACAAGCCGGCAAACGAAGAGTTAGATTAAAATCAGCACAATTGTCACTAAAAAGGCAAACAATCTAAGTACAAATGGTGTACTTGTAAGAGGTAGACAGACATACAGATTGACAAACATCTCAGTGCGAGACATATTTGTTGAAATAATTTCAATCAAATCAATCTACTCTTTTTCCCTGCTCGTCGTCCCCAAGCCGCCGTTCGAGAGGCTAGAAGATCAGACGTGTTCCGACTGACTGCCTTAAGACTTACCCCGAGAAAAACACTTAAAATAGATTAGGTAATTAGGAAAGACTCGTGTTAATTGGGGGGAAGCTAAGGAAATTTTCCGGGCGAGTGGACCCGACCAAGAGTTTTGGAGGTCAGTTGAGGTGGTCGACCTCTGACCTCTTCTCCTGGTTCCTTGTGATGCGATATTTAGTGTTTGTAGTGGTGATGAGATATGATAGTAGGTTGTTCCCCTTGTTGGTGCTGCAGAATATTCTGCAGCTAATATTATATGTTGAATACGTGCTCTGTCTCTCTCTGTCTCTCTCTCTCTCTGTCTCTCTCTGTCTCTCTGTCTCTCTCTGTCTCTCTCTGTCTCTCTGTCTCTGTCTCTGTCTCTCTGTCCCTCTCTCTGTCTCTGTCTCTCTGTCTCTCTCTCTCTCTCTCTCTGTCTCTCTCTCTCTCTCTCTGTCTCTCTGTCTCTCTCTCTCTCTGTCTGTCTCTCTGTCTCTCTGTCTCTCTGTCTCTCTGTCTCTCTGTCTCTCTCTCTCTCTCTCTCTCTCTCTCTCTCTCTCTCTCTCTCTCTCTCTCTCTCTCTCTCTCTCTCTCTCTCTCTCTCTCTCTCTCTCTCTCTCTCTGACCAAACATTGTTATGAAGTAGACAGACGGTGTCCTTAGTATACCTTAATATACCATACACAAGTATATCTACATCGCCTTGACTGACTCCTGTTAATCACCCCCGGTGGACCCCAGCACATTACCTCGGTGGACCCCAGCACATTACCCTGGTGGACCCCAGCACATTACCTCGGTGGACCCCCAGCACATTACCTCGGTGGACCCCCAGCACATTACCTCGGTGGACCCCAGCACATTACCCTGGTGGACCCCAGCACATTACCTCGGTGGACCCCAGCACATTACCTCGGTGGACCCCAGCACATTACCTTGGTGGACCCCAGCACATTACCTCGGTGGACCCCAGCACATTACCTCGGTGGACCCCAGCACATTACCCTGGTGGACCCCAGCACATTACCTCGGTGGACCCCAGCACATTACCTTGGTGGACCCCAGCACATTACCTCGGTGGACCCCAGCACATTACCTCGGTGGACCCCAGCACATTACCCTGGTGGACCCCAGCACATTACCTCGGTGGACCCCAGCACATTACCTCGGTGGACCCCAGCACATTACCCTGGTGGACCCCAGCACATTACCTCGGTGGACCCCAGCACATTACCTCGGTGGACCCCAGCACATTACCTTGGTGGACCCCAGCACATTACCTCGGTGGACCCCAGCACATTACCTCGGTGGACCCCAGCACATTACCCTGGTGGACCCCAGCACATTACCTCGGTGGACCCCAGCACATTACCTCGGTGGACCCCAGCACATTACCCTGGTGGACCCCAGCACATTACCTCGGTGGACCCCAGCACATTACCTCGGTGGACCCCAGCACATTACCCTGGTGGACCCCAGCACATTACCTCGGTGGACCCCAGCACATTACCTCGGTGGACCCCAGCACATTACCTCGGTGGATCCCAGCACATTACCTCGGTGGACCCCAGCACATTACCTCGGTGGACCCCAGCACATTACCTCGGTGGACCCCAGCACATTACCTCGGTGGACCCCAGCACATTACCTCGGTGGACCCCAGCACATTACCTCGGTGGACCCCAGCACATTACCTCGGTGGACCCCAGCACATTACCTCGGTGGACCCCAGCACATTACCTCGGTGGACCCCAGCACATTACCTCGGTGGACCCCAGCACATTACCCTGGTGGACCCCAGCACATTACCTTGGTGGATCCCAGCACATTACCCTGGTGAACCCCAGCACATTACCTTGGTGGACCCCAGCACATTACCCTGGTGGACCCCAGCACATTACCTTGGTGGACCCCAGCACATTACCTCGGTGGATCCCAGCACATTACCCTGGTGGACCCCAGCACATTACCTTGGTGGATCCCAGCACATTACCCTGGTGGACCCCAGCACATTACCTCGGTGGACCCCAGCACATTACCCTGGTGGACCCCAGCACATTACCTCGGTGGACCCCTGCACATTACCTCGGTGGACCCCAGCACATTACCTCGGTGGACCCCAGCACATTACCTCGGTGGACCCCAGCACATTACCCTGGTGGACCCCAGCACATTACCTCGGTGGACCCCAGCACATTACCTCGGTGGACCCCAGCACATTACCTCGGTGGACCCCAGCACATTACCTCGGTGGACCCCAGCACATCACGGTAATAGACCCCAGAACTCACTTGTGATGGATCTCACCAATGAACCCAACAGCCTGTAAAAGATAAATATAAATTTTCAGCACTGTCCTCTAGTCTGGAGGCCTAGGAGGTTTTGGAGGCCTGGTCGACGACCGGGCCGCGGGGACACTAAGCCCCGGAAGCACCTCAAAGTAACCTCAAAGTAGTGAGCATTCTTAAATTGGTGAGGTCAGACTAAATAGACAATGATTGTTTTTAGGTCAGTTCCTATAGTATATTAATGAATATTATAACTCACAAATACTAGTGATATTAGTAATTATCAGAGTATTTTGAATGTCGTGATCATTACGGTGTTTCCACCATTCGTCATATCAAGGGTAAGTCGCCCTATCTTGTCGGGTCATGATGCACAGATGCGAGCGGTGGTACTAACTGGGTCCTTTGGGTAATGGTATATAGTCCCATTTCTTAAGATGGTGGTACAGTTGTATAAAATGGTGGTGGTACAATCCCCGGGGTGGCAGTACATTCACGTACAAATAGGTTCCAAGGTACAGTGAACGAATAGGGCAGTTTGGTGAAGCTTCTATGGTTAATGGTTGGTAAATATGAGAGAGGGACAGAAAGTGAATTGTAGCTAATTGTTAATTGTAATTAACCTTTCAACCAGGAACTTCCACCACCGGAGAGAACCACCACAACAACACATGGACTTGTGTCTCGTCTAGTCTCTAGTCCTTCGTGATCAGTCTCGCGTTATTTTGTAAACAATGTTGTTTAGCTTTGTTTATATTCTGCCCCTTATGCCTATCGTAATTGCTTCTCAAAATTGTTTATTATGTGCTGGAAAGCGCTCCAGTATTTTCCAGTGTGTGTTCTCGCGCGCACGCGCGCACAAGAAGCAGTGGGAACATGATCGCAACGTGTAAGATACTGAAAGGATTAGACAAAGTGGACAAGGACAGCCTCTTTAAAGTGAAAGTATGACTAAAGGACAGACGTGGAATCTAGAAACGCAAATGTGTGTAAAAAATATAACTAAGTAATCGTACCTTGTACGAGGGGGGGGGGAGGTCAATAAGAAAACTTATGAAACAAGAAGTTGTGGAAGCCACCTCCATCCACAACTTTTAAGGCCAGATTCGACAAAGAATTCAAACGTGAAAATAGTTAAATCATAACACAACAGGTACAACATGACAAGTAGGCGAGTTGTAGAGAGTTGAACCTTTTCCTTAGACATTGATCAGTGCACCACACGCAATGATCTCTCAACTAGAAAATCAGGAGCCGTGATGAGAGTTCGAACCTATGCGCAGGGTGTTCCCAGACGCACGCACTAGTCGACTACGCCACGCGGATTTCTCCTCTCCTGTGGATTGTGGGAAATTTGCGGATTTTCTCATTGATATATCACGATAATGTGATTTCTGTGTGTACCTTTCCCAATTTGACGCTGTTTTCCCGAGTCTGGCGTCGATCTTCCTCCCCCTTACCCCCGTTCTCTGTAAGCCTCACAGGTGATATTGATACCTGCAGCTCTATATCGCAATTATATAATAGATCTTGAACCACCACTCCGCCATGTCTTATATCTAGGTCATAATTTCCATTTAATAACAGGTTTAATTATGTGTATTCAAACGGATGCAATTGATCATTCTATTATTTTTAAATTGCATAAATAATTATTTGTTGTGCATAATAATAGAAGATAGATGTACAACTTTCACGGTTTGGATCCTATCACGGCACGGGAGACATCTCCCGTCACGCAGGGTGCAGCCGCACCTCCACAGATCTCCAGTATCAGCTCTTGATACTGGTAATGGCTCAAAAGGGCCACCACTTACGGGCTATTCATGCCCGTGCCACCTTTTGGATGACTTAATCTTTATCAATCAATCAATCAATCCTATCACGGGCTCAACATAGCCCGTTCCACTTGGGACTATTTTGTTCCAAGTAGAGAATCTTCAACAATTTCTCACTGAGTTCCGTCCGTCACAACTTACTGATAATAATTAAACAACTTTATTTCAGTGATAGTTATGACCTAATACTTGTAGGGATCATTATGACCAGAATTTTCTTCTGGTACCTTCGGGCGGTGCTGACAGTGGCTGCGCTCACAACGTCCTCTCATCTACTAGCTCACGATTGTACGTTATGGTAACTTACGTTACATATGCTTCCTACTACGAAAAAAGTATCGGTTCACAAATGTACACGTTTTCTATGAGTCGGAGTGATTGGGTTAGGTTAAGAGGTTGGATTTTTTTATACGTAGTGACAAATTGGATGGAACAATGAAGACAAAACACACACACACACACACACACACACACACACACACACACACACACACATAATTTACATACACAGCGCTGAATGACCCAACTGGTTCCAGCACCTGGCCCTCAGGAATAATACAAAACATGATTCACATTTTAACCATCAGAACTATTAAGGGCTAGAACAACCTCATTGTATATTCACTAAGAAACGTTCCAGAGTTACCATATTCATTTCCTAACTTGGCCTTAAAATATAAAAAAAAACACCGGGAAAGTGAGAGATTTGTAAGATAAATAGGATGTTTAAGAGAGGTCGAGGGAGCTGACCAAGTTACTGGAGAGGTTTGTTGTTAGGGTGAAGGGCTGTCTGCCTCATAGCCTGTGAAGGCCACCAATAACTTAGTGAACCAACACGTATAGTTCAGTCTTGAATGGAACTTTAAAATTATACGGTAAACTTTGTGCATTTTGTAACTGGGGATATAATATACTCATTGGCACATAACACTTTATATATTTGAAAGCCACGGCGTTAGCTTTCAGGTCACCCTTGTAAGAATAATTTATACCTGGAATATACAGTCGATGTTGACCAGACCACACACACTAGAAGATGAAAAGACGACGACGTTTCGGTCTGTCCAGGACCATTATCACAAACGACTTACAAGTGGTCCAGGACGGACCGAAACGTTGTTTTTCATCTTCTGGTGTGTGGTTTGGTCAACATTCTCCAACCACGTTATTGTGACGTCATCTGTATACAGTCGATGTGTATACAGTCGATGTGTATAAAATTAGAGTAAATTATAAGTGGGAACCGACCTGTGAGATTTATATTTATTTAATTTATATGAATTTATATTTACGTTAATTTATATACTTCGATAGCAATTTGTATAATGATAAGTGGACTGTATTTCTGCAATAATCTCATAATCTCACAAATCGATCCTCTACACATTAGGGGGGGTTTATTAAATTAATATATATGCAGCCAATCAAACTACAGTAATAGCTACATACATTGATGAGGTTCCTTATCTTATAGTACAGCAGGTTAGTCCACCAGGTATAACTAGGGTGTAGACACCAAATTATCCTCTTTGAGTTAGCTTCCATCACCCAGTAACTGGTGCACATAATCTTGCATCCTCGTCTTGACCTGTCAAAAGTGCGCTAGCTGTGAAGCCAGAATCCTATATATGACAAGCTATATCAGAGAAAACAGTACATGGAACATTAAAGACCTGGCTTAATTACCTTTAGTATGAGGCGATTTCGCGTTCTAACCGGCTAACCCTATATCCTGACATTAATGGCCATAAATGAATGATAAACGGGTTTCGGATAGACACTTAACTTGTATTTGTAGACAGCGTGTTGACAATGGTACACCTTTGGGTTCCATAACACTACGTCCAAGTAAATTTAACAGGAGCCGAATTTGCTCCCGTGTGAGCCTCTGGTCTCAATAACAACAACAATGGCTGCCGTCCTTCCTCCACTCTGACGCCTGGCTTACATTGTCCAGATTTCAGAACGTGATAGAAGGGTCACATTTACTCTACTTTAATATTGATAATTAAGTTAATTTATATAAGATGTTTTTATGATGGTAAAGTCCAAAGACTAATGTATTTAAGAATAATTCCCAGCAGAATAGCTGGTGAATTATAATAGTATGTGGTGATGATATCCCGTTTTCTATAGACGGTAATTCCACTACAAGTTACGTTTTCTATGGGTAACTTGTTGGTAATACAGCAGCACTATTATCTGTCTGTATGATATTAAATGGTGTCGGATTTTCCGACATAATTCCCCAGGGGCTGCTCACGGGTCGAAGTCCTAATTAGAACAGACGAACACCGATACTCCTCCTTCGAATTATTAGATTAATTTGATGTTAGTAGTTAGTAATCACACATTTGTGTGTCTGTTCGTACAGGACGGATGTCCCGTACTAGAGTTGCAGGGGTTAGAAGTCTAATGCGATTTCATTTCCCTGTCAACTCTTGAAAGGCTAATATTCAAGCCTTATTACATATTATTTAACCCAGAAGACTGGATGTGATCAAGTACTACAGTCAAGTATGATTCAGGGACTGCAGTGAGATCAGTGACATTAGATATAACTTGAAGTTTCTTCAGGTAACTGGTCACTGATATATAAACACTGAGGCCCATGGAATACATCTTGATTAAATAATAAATGTATCAAATCAGTCATCAGATTTATTGGGGTTTAATTTAGTTAATTGATTCAGAAGATTGAATAGCTCATCATTAAAGTAAAGTATGGTTCTGAGACTGCAGTGGGTTCAGTGACATTGGTCGCAGTGACTTGTAGCTGTTTTAGGCTACTGTTCACTGATTTGCCACTGAGGCCTCATGAACTCATCTTCAGCTTTAAATGATGATACTAACATCAACCTCTGTTGGTATAGTCAGCTGTAATCTCCTTAGTATAATGCTACTGGAGAAATATAATCAGCTGACAAATTTAGATTTCTACTGGTATTGTTTATCTGCAGGCATAGGTCTCCTCAGGCTTGATACTGGGCCTGAGAGTAATTTACCTCCTGCAGAGTTTAACATGGTTATGCCCTGATATTTAGTAGGGCTACCAATGAATTGATGGTAGTAGTCTGTCCCCACAAGGACAGCCATTTGGCATTTGATTTGCTCAAATTTACCTGCAGCTGCTTGATAATAGCTTTCC